TCAACCAGTAATATAATAAAAAAAGTATATATATATATATATATATATATATATATATATATATATATATATAAAAGTGGAGAATAACCTTCATGAATTGACTTTTGAAGTTGAGTTAGGCCGAAATTCAACTTCTAAGAATTTTTAACGAAGTCTATTAGTGTCATTGTCATGCGGTTTATATACATAGCCTTGTCTAGTGGGATAATAAGACATTTTTGTTGTTGTTATTATTGTTGTATTTGTGTCTGTTGCATGGTGAATTGTATCTGGATTGTGTCTTTGACATGGGTCATTGGTGTCATGGTGTGAATTCTGTTCAGGAATATTCTTCGATACCTACGGGGAGTACTATGACGATCTGAGGGAGTTCCACCAGCATCTCCCAACACTTTTGAAGCCTGGTGGAATCTACTCTTTCTTCAATGGCCTTTGTGGTAGTAATGCATTTTTCCATGTTGTTTACTGCCATTTGGTATCTCTTGAGCTTGAGAATTTGGGGTATTCCACGCAATTAATTCCGTTGCCTGTTAAGGATTGTTTGGGAGAACAAGTATGGGAAGGTGTGAAACAAAAATATTGGCAGCTTGATACGTACTACCTTCCTGTCTGTCAGTCTGTAGAGGAACCTGAGTGATGTAAGAAATACATCTCCTGCACTTAAAGAAGAACTGCACCCTGTGCAGTTACTAATTTTACGGTAGATGCAAGTTTTTCTCTCCTTAATATATTAAAGTTAAAGGAATGACTAAAATCTCATGCAGTTATTTTCAAAACTGTAGAGGATCTTGATCCAAGTGATGTATGGTTTGATTTTAATCACATCATCAAAATTATGTTCAGGTGATGCGTTGTTGCTTGTGTAACGTACCAAATGGAATTGTAAGAATAGTTAGATTCATATCGATTTGTTTTAGCATTATTTTTAAATTTCATTATATTAGGTGTCCTTTGAATTTATAAGTCTTTGGTTATAACCAACATAGTTCAAGAAAATGCATTTTAATTGATGACGAAGGTATTCCTTTTAAGTTATAAAATAAAGAAAACTATTCTTTTCACGTTTAACCTACAGGATGTCTCGTTCACATAAGCCAAATACAAAATTCCTATTTTCCTTTGTTAAGCTTCTCTATATGAAGTTGGATAACATTATTATTAATCCAGTGGGCTCATGTGCTAATGTCAACATCTTCTCAGGTCTTAAAGCAATTAAGTAAGTTGTTACTGGACATGTTTCCAATTAATAATGGATTAAAAAATCAATTGCAGTTACAAGGTCGTTTTATTTATCTGGGATTCTGACGGAAAACCCTTTGATAAAGAGAAGGTATAAATTCTGTATTTCATATACTTGATTCTTTTAAATCTATAATAATAATGAATCATATTGTCATATAATTCATGCAGAAATTAAACTTTGGAGCAAAACCATTAGAGAGATTTTGATTTGCTAAATGTCTCGAACCATCGCAAGCATTGGTTGTTTTGCTGCACGTTGGGGATATAGATGAATAACCCAAGTGGACAACTTATTCCGCTTAGTGGGAAAAGCAAGAGCTTACTGTCTTAGTAGTTAGCACTTCAGTTTTAGGCCAATGCCTCATTTTTCTTCCTTATAACTTATTACTGCTAGTAATTAAGCAGGAAAATTTAAATGTGCTGGTAAATGCCATTCGGATTCCCGCAGTGGACCAATCACTTGATATATGAATCTGTCACGTAAGACAAGAAGCACAAAGCTGGTTAAATATGAATTACCATTCAATGCCATTATTCAGAGGCACCATTAGACTGTTTCTTTTCTGTACAATCATTCTTTACTAATTTTCAAAGGACAACAGCAAAGAGACACAACTTAACATCAGGCCTCTTTGTGGACCAAAGGCAGAGCAAAGAGATGCAATTATTCATGTTTGCAACAGGTAATTCAGAGTCAGGGCCTTTGAATATAGTAGTGAGTCAAGTCCAGCTAAAAGCAATGGGACTAGTGACCTTATGTTTCCCATCTGACCATTCCAGATAAGCAAAGCTGGCTGTTCCAGAAGGCTTTGAAGAAGACGTGAACGTCACTGTGTAGTTCTTCCTCTCATTTAGTTCCCTGAAACTAAGTGTTTGTGGTTGCACCACAATATTCACTGTGGGGGACTGCGACACTGAAACTTTATATGTTGCAGGGGCGCCCACATTTGTTAAAGTCCTTGTATACTGTAGAGTGTTTGGGTTCAATCGTTTGTGAGAACCACCCTTCACTCCATAAGCCGTGTCAAAAGGAACAGCAAAAGATGGGTAGTTGAGATCCTCCACTCTGTACTTCTTCCTTTTGCTGCAGGTAAAATCTCTTTTTGCTACAAGCTTTATTTGATTGGAAGTATAGTTCAAGGCACAGAAGAAGCTCAAGTAGTCATCCACGGTAGCATCATACACAAGGCCAGGATCAAAAGCAGCTACTGGATCCACATGTCCAGCCCCATAATCAAACGGTGTAGCCGGCAGGCCAGTGGCAACATCTCTTATGGTTTGCCCATTTTTGTAGGTTCTGTAGGATGTGGTCATGAGGGCAGACCTTATAGCTGCAGGGCTCCATTCAGGGTGAGTGCCCTTAAGAAGGGAAGCTAACCCACTGACATGGGGACAGGACATGGATGTGCCTGAGATTATGTTGAATTCCACATGCCTGGTATCTTCAGTCAAGCCAGTTGGTCCAATTGCACCAGTCCACCCAGCTAGGATGTTGACTCCCGGAGCTATCAGGTCTGGTTTGAGTACTTTCGGAGTGAGCAAATTTGGCCCTCTTGAGCTGAAAGCTGCCACCACTGGGGATGGTTCAACCCCTAACTTGGTGCCACCAAATGCAATTTTAGCTGTCGGATTAGGAGCTGAGAAAACATACTTCTTTAACTCATTGCTGAATTTCTGACCCAATGCTAAAGCTGGGAGGAGATAAGAGTCAGCAACTAGCTCTTCTCCATAGTCGTCATTGTTTGCTAGTATCATCCCAATGCCTCCAGCACTCTTCACCACCAAACCCTTTTCCACTCTAGCAGTCCCTCCTCGATCACATATAACAATTTTTCCTGCTACTTTTTCAGGAATCAAACTACCTTTGCTGCAAAGATTTCCCTCGGATTCATCGCTTGCATTGCCAGCATAAACAATTGGTAGTGGAGAATTAGGTGGCAATTTGCCGTGGTAAAGGGACACCCCAGTGTATATCTTCCCATTTCCAAGGGTGATATAGGAAGGGAAGTCACGGTCTATGGTTCCAGCACCCACTGTGGTAAGCCATGGCGCCACATTAGACAAAGATGCTTGACTAGGCCCACCATTTCCTGCTGAATTGGAAACCAGTATTCCATGGGCTGTGGCTGCAAAAGTTCCAATTGCAATAGTGTCTTTGTAGTAATCCGTCAAACCTCCACCAATAGACATGGAAAGAATGTTGACACCATCTCCAATGGCCTTGTCAATGCCAGCAGCTATGTCTGATGTGAAGCACCCTCCAAGCCAACACACTTTGTAAGTAGCAACTCTGGCTTGTGTGGCCATACCTCTTGCTGTCCCATTAGCGAAACCAAAGAGGCTGGCTCCTGGAACTGCAGAACCTGCGGCTGTAGTTGAGGTGTGACTTCCATGGCCATCATCATCCCTTGGTGACTTTGATTCTGTCTTTTCATCAATCGGTCCAAACGCCGCCTCGTAGCCCTTGGAGAAAAACCTTGCACCAACAAGCTTCTTGTTACAGTTTGATGGGTTGAAGTTCTTACCTCTCTCACACTCACCTTTCCAGCTACTCGGTACTGGCCCAAGTCCTGTGTCATCAAAGCTTTTTAGTTCAGGCCACACACCAGTGTCTAGTACTCCAACAACCACCTCGCTCTGCTTTCCATAGGGTAGTGAAAGAGTGGTGGTTCTTTCCAACCCCAGAAACTCTGGTGATCGAGTTGTGTGAAGATCATATCTAACTTCTGGGGTGACAGAGAGAACTCCCAGTTGTTTTGACAGTAACTCAGCTTCTTGGGTAGTTAGCCTTGTGGAGAAGCCATGAGCTACATGATTGTATGTGTAGAGCATCTCTGCGGAGTCTGATACTGAATTTAGAGATGAATCATACCACAGCAGATGGTCGTTGAAATTTGCTGGCATGTTGAGCTTGTCCATGTGAACTATGTATGTGGTTTTAGAGTGAGGGGTTTTCTTTTCTGCTATGGTGTGTCTGCTAGAGAAAACTAGCAGCAAAGCTATTAGAAGGGACCTGAATATCAGCATATTCATATTGTTACCGTGCTCTCGCTCCACCATTAGAATTTTTAGCACAATTTAGTCTCGGGCTTCTTTCGAATGTGTTTCAGAAACGCAGGGATAGTTGGTATTTATCATTCATATCAACTGTTGAGGCTGCGGGCCTGCCTAGAATATCTTGTAATAATTGAAATGGAATGATAAAAGGAAGTGAAAAAATAAATGGGATTGAAATGGAACAAAATAACAACCACTATGTTCCACCTAATGATCGTAGAGTTAGAACAGATACATAATGACTTAAATTAGATTTTTATTATTGTTGTTATTTTTGTTATTGATAAGAAAAAATATTATAAAATCACTGTTATGTTGTTTAAGGGGAACGTTAAGAAAGACAATTTTTTAACACACTCTTATCAACATATTTTATATATTAGCTGAAATTATTGAAAAATATAATTTTTGATGAATTTTATTCTTCATGATCCTTTTGCTTTGATTATATAATTCAAGTTTTTAATAAATTTTAACTAGCAATCCAATATCTTAGAAATAGTAAAAAGTGTGTCTACGGTTCTTCCCATTGTGTAAAAATATTACAATGGAATGAGAATTTACTTGAATTACATTACCTATCCAAAATTAAAAGGGAATACAAATTGAAGTTACGGGTAAAATGGAACAGAATAAGTTTCATTACGTTTCATTTTATTCCTTAATTCGATTACAAACAACGCAACGCGTAAAATTTTCGTTTTATCACACTTCATTCTATCACTTTCTACCAATCTAAACTGAGTTACTACGTCACTGCATTAATCTCACCCATTCCATTTATTTCATTATATAATATTAAAAACACATTTGAAAGTTAAATTTAATAAACTTTAGTCGTTGGATGTACAACTGCACATGCCGCAGTTTCTTGTGAAACTAAACTGCATAGGATCCGGTAAAAATTCTTTTATTATAAACACTTTCTATTTGAGTCTTTCTTTTGGAAGATGGTAAAAAGAAGTGTCAATGGGACGCAGAGTCGTGTTGTCAACAAAACATTAAATATGTAAAATGAACAAAAACCTTTTTTGTTTTTCTTGTCTTAACTGTTGAATTTATTAGACGAGTTAGTTGTTCATGTTATTATCGGAAAAGGCAATATACAACCTCATTTTTTATTCAGAGAAATAAGAGTTTGGTTTATGGTCACTCTACTTACTTCATATCTTATGCAAATTTAGTACGTTTGACTTGGGGCCACATAATCACATAGTATTTATTTATCTATCTTTTAAGTCCTTGTTTTGTAATGTAAATAAGAAGAAGAGAAAAAGGTAAATAAAGATAAGGCAAAATTCATGATGGATTAATCAAAGATATGACTTATCGGTGGATTAACATAAATAAAATTGACACATATTCTCAAAAAGAGGACCAAATCCTAGAATTAATGACACAACATACATTTCTTTATACAAAATATTAGACAAGAGATAAAATAATAAAACTACATATTTTAATAAATTAACCATTTAACCCGCACCTATTTATTTTACCAGATATATTTAGTCTAGTAATATTTCACATGAACCGATAAAGTAAAACACCTTAGCAAGTATTATAAAGATAATGATTTTAAGATGAAGTAGTTTGTTGTGTATCTCACTCATAAGGCAGGAAATTTATTGGTGATAGACAATTTTTTAATTGAAAAAATAATTTATTTTATAATAATAATTTTAAATTTAATTTAAAATGTTATTTTTTTCTAACTTTGTACTGCGATATGACTGTCAAACCAGAGAGAAGTGGTGAAATGCTTTGATGAAAAGCTTTAGCAGGATTACAATTGCGAACCTAAATCAAAAAATCACACTCTTAAAGATGTTTCTGTCGTAGTTTTCAAGCTCTTTCGGTCCACCGAGCACTGCTTCCGCAAGTGCCCCGACACAGCAGCCTCGTACCTGGGCCAAGTGTGTTTGTGCAATTAAACATTCTTCCTCAAGCAAAAACTTAGGAGGAGCTACCGAAAGTTTTGGAGTGGCAAGATTGCTTTCTTTTTTTTTCTATTCAATTTTTATTTTTTTAACCAAACTTTGAAATTCGAAAGATTTGATTTTGAATAAAAATTAAAATTTTTAACAACTTGCATCTGATAATGTTGTTAATTTGTAGTGACCTACCAGTGATAGAGAGAAGGACATGGTGATCAAGAAATGCTTAGAGGTGATTAGCTTGTCGTAACAGCATATAGAAGATGAGTTAAAAAACTGAAGGAAAGAAATTGGATAAATAATTTGCTAGTAAGAAATCACACTCGATAAATAGTTTAATATTATATTTGACGGTTAAAACAGGCAATTGATAATGTAATATTATTTATGGATGTTGAAAGTAGGAACTGAACTGTTGAAGGATTCGCAGAGTCTCATGTAAGATGTATTATTATTCATGGATGTTGAGAGTTGAACTGTTGAACTGCTGAAGGGTACACAAACTCTCATGCAAACTGATCTGAACTGCTAAAGGATGTTTTCTCTCATGTAAATCTTCAGAATATAACTGGTTCTTTTCAATATTAAACTAAACTGAGGTAGCAAGGTTTTAACCAAAACAAATACAAAATAGTGTTCATTCCTATTAAATCTCAATATTTTATGGGATATGATCATTATGTTATAATTAATTAGGATAATTAAAATTAATTAATTTTTAAATATTTGATCATTAAAATTATAATAATTAAATTATTATATCTTATTAAAATTAATATTAATTAGGTTTTAATATTAATAATTAATAAAATAATTATTTTAAATTTAAATTAAATTTAAACTTAAATTTAAAATAATTTTACAAATTAAATTTTTTATAAAATATCTCAAAATATATGACTAGTACCACTTATCTTGATACTTCATTCTAGAATTTTTGAAATAAAGAAGAGAAAGAATGAGAAGATATGTGCAGAAAAATTAAAATTTTGGTATTGTTTCATAAAGAAAATTAAATTGTGATGAAAAAGAAATGAGAGCTATATTAAATGAATAATAATAAATAAAATAAAAACTTCTCCTCTCATATGAGGGAAAGTGCCAAAAATTGTGAACAAAATTTAAAGGGAATGGCACAGGACTGCTATAAATAAGTTTGGGTAAAAAAAAATATCCTTTTGTAACAAATAACCTGTGCTTTTACTCTATTTTCTTACTTATTTACTTTTACTTTTTTTTTCTGTACTTTTTACACTTGTCTTATTTTATTATTTTCTCTTTAACGAAAACAACACAAAATAAAGGTACATATGATATGTAGGTACGGTGGATTTACCTATCTCTTTTGCCATACATCACACTCCAATAGAATTCCTTTTGTTCCACTATTTACTTTACTTTACATATCATATTTCACGTTCTTTGAAGAACTTTAGAGTGTACTTGTAATTATATACAAAGAAAAACAAAGTGGGAGACGCTCAAGTTTATTGTTAACTGTACGCCTACATCCCAACTAAGTACAAGTGTTCAACTAGCAAGAGCACTATTTTTTTTATATATAAAAAAATACAACATCTAAAAATATATACTACAAAGATTACAATTATAAATATGGTATATATAATTAGTTCAAAAGAATTAAAACTTAAAACATCAATTGAGATTCAAAAATAATACTAAAATTACCTATAAATATGTAAATTTTATTAGGATACAGACAAAGTCTCACATCATTTAAATAAGAGAATCAATATGAGTTTATATATACATAATTGTCTCTATTGATTGAGAGACCTCGTGAGTGGTATATAAAAACAAAATCGTGAGGACTAAGTCTAAAACAGACAATATCTTGTCAATGAAAAATGTGTATGTGTATATAATTCCCGATTGAAGAAGTTTTTGTATCCAAACTGACCAATTAAAGAGAAACTAAATGGCAATGATTGTCTTACTTTTCTGACAATCAAGGATGAGCATGTGGAAAACAGGCTATATTTTACGAATAAAAATAAACAGGGACTCTCACTTTCTCTACTTTATTACGTGGAAAAGAATAAATAACACGTTAAGATAACATCGATTCATATTTATACGTAAAATATATTTGAATTCTATATATAATTCCATACTATATATTTGAAATTATGTTTGATTTATATATATAATAATTTTAATTAATAAAATTAAACATCTTTAAAATATTTTTAAATTTTATTTAGATATAAATAAATATATGCACAACATATGATATTTTAGAGATTTTATTTGTACCTACAATCCCACTGAGATATTGGTTGTAAATAATAGTCCATAAAAAATGATAGTGGAAGAAGCACTGAGATTTGCGGGCACACTCTAAAGCTCAATCAGCTTCCTCCTTAGAAAAATGAGTTCAAAATTCAGATATTATGGCACAATACATACAATTAGGTACAGTGCAGTATTATAAAATATAAAGATACTCTATCTATGCATTATGTGGTTGTTAGCTGGACATGACCTACCACTCAATGTTATCCATACAGGGAAACACCATTGGGATTTGTTGGACAAATAATACTTTTTTTTCTTTTCCAATTTTTATTCCTCAAAATCTAAAATGATTATTTTTGGGTTCTTAATGTTTATTTTTAGATAAATAATTTCATTATAAAGATCTATAATTTTTTCAAGTTACACACTAATATAATACTACAAGTAATTGTAAGTGTTATATGAGATAGTCTTTTAACTTTATGATAAATGCATAAATAGTTCATTGTGAATGGGTTAAAAATAATAATTTTAACTTTATATAAATAAAAAATATAATAAAAATCACATATATCAAAATTAAAACTTTCTTTATTTATATAAATTAAAAATTGCTGGAATTTAAGTATTAAGTGATTCTCATAATAATTAAAGAGAAATATATTAAGTAGTATAAAAATTCGCATATTTAATATTTTAAGATTTTGAATTATATTATGATATTAAACTTACTAATATAATTTACTCACTATTTATAAATAAGTTAATGATTCAGCCAAATAATCGGTTCAAATAAATATTAGTCAATAAAATTAATTGTGAACACCGAATTAACTTAATATATTAAATATATAAGTGAGAGAATATATAATACTCACTATCTATGTAAGAAGTGTTTATGGGTTTAACTCTTCATTCATTACATACAAAATAAAGAAAATTTGATTTTAAATAAA